GCAACGCTGTAAAGGAGATAAGCACATAAATTAAGACAACTCTTAGGCAAATGTCTTTTGAGAATCGAAATTATATGTGACATTTTCAGGATTTGGTCTTAATGGTATTGAAAGTTCAAAAAATTAAACTTAAAAAAAAACAGAATTAGGAAACATTTACACGTATTTGATACAAAAGAAAATAAAAATTAAAGATTTAAGTTGGACTGAATGTGAAAAAAGAGATTACCGGAATACACGTTGAATTACAATCCAGAAGGAAGTTACACACTTATGATATTATGACGTCTCTGTAGGGTAGTTGACGCCTATTCTGACATCATAAATAAGAGAAGAATTTAATATTTGTTTCAATGTTTGGCATCTATTATTTACGACGAACAAACCCCCAATGCGAATTGAATATGTAAACACGTCTATATAGTTATGTCTGCCACGTGAATTCTTCCAAACCTCTAACTGTTGTAAGTGCAATCCAGCAAATTTATTTTAATTGCAGTTGAACGTAGACAAATCGACAGAAATTAATGTAAACAATGAGTGCAGACATCAGTTACATATTCCTACCATAGGTGTTGTTTAATCGATCTGCTGATGTTTATACCATTAATGAATTAGCTGAATTTGTAAATTAGTTACATCAATCATGAATATTAGTTGAATCATTCATTGAACGTTTCGTTATGGACCATTTGTTATACCTATCATTACATTTCTGGCGTTGTATAGTCATTATTCATAATAACAAAATGGCAGTAGTGTGAGGGGTGTATTTGTGGAATGATCAATACTCTTCTGTGATTAATTTTCAACTAATGGAATAATTACTGTGTATTTGTCAACAGATATGTTTATCTGCAGTGGGAAATATTTTTTTAAAAGTTTTAGTCTCAACAGCATTGTTACAGAAGCTGACTGACATGTTTTATTTAAAGTCATGGTGACGTGATAGGCCTATATATGACAGTCGGTAACCGTACAGTTTCATTGTTACCAAATTCCATTTGTGTCATTGCTAAACACATGTCCACATTCTCTTGTGAAATGGTGTCAGAATAATTGGATTTCTCCTGTTATAGCTATATAATTGATTGTTACAGTAAAATGTTTGTTGAAAAGTTCCAGAGAATTTTAGTATGATCACGTAACATGTATCAGATTGTCTAAATTATGAATTATTTGATTAGAACACATCTAGTTATTACTAATGTTGTAGAACTAATTAATATAGAAAAATAACTGTAGGACATAAAAATAGAATTGAGTCGGAGAATAATATCAGCCACATATCTTGGAATATCTGATAGGGGAGCACAATTATAGTTGTGAAAATTATATATTTTATAGTAGGAGGATAGCACTATTAGATCTATTTTGTATATTTGATCTGTAGACCGCAAAAGAATTGTGTTAGACGGATACAATAACTTTTACTCATAAGTAAGCTTATTAAAACTTTTAATCTTGTTATTTAATTTAATAATATGTAATGGATTTGAGGTTTTCACGGCGGTGAGTCTGAAGATGGTTGACATCTGGGTTGCGCCGTGTAGTGTGGTAGATGTTTACCGACGTTTCAGAGGTCCTTGTTGCCTCCATCTTTAGGGCGATTCGTGACGTAACAGATTGGTTACCATGAGCTGTGCCATCTTGTGGTTTTGTGTGTGGTTACCAATATTTTCGAAGAATTGTCCTACTCCTGTAGAACAACGCGACTGAACATTCTAAATTGTGTAACAATACATTTGCAAAAAAAAATCTGGTTTGTGAGTTATATTAACATCGGCTTTCCTGTTTTCTATAAACTACATCTCTTTCAAGTATCTTGCAGATACCATTGTGAGACGTTTGCAAACCGTAACAGTGTTCCTTGTTGGACCCAGAAGGATTAGAGGGGTCTCTTTTCAACATTTGCTTATTGCTACAGCGCCAATTGTCGCTTTGTTTCGGTGAACTAGCGTCTGGCACTGCGAGTTGTGAAAGTAGTATCGCAGCGAATCTTAAAGTGCTTGACAACAGACAAAAAAGCCAATAACAGCCAAGCACTAACAACAATACAAATCTTACAATACTAAAGCAAACAAACAATGAACTGAATATATAAAGTACAATATTAATTTATTGCAAAATAATTAATAAGTAAATGAGCTAAATGTTATGGATAAGTAAATTAAAAATTAAATTAAAATCGGTTCAATTTTGGACAAACAACATACAAAATAAAATATTATTCAATTGAATTCAATTCATTTATACTAATACTAAATAAATAATAAAAAATAACAGTGATTATTTTTTAATTATGTATTATAGTGTCTATACATCTTTTTGAGGCATTCTGTGTTTTATATGTTTTAATTATTTTTTATGTTATTTGTTAATGCAAAAGAAGAAAGATATTTATGAATTTTGACTGGAATAAGGAGGTAATAAATTGTTTTTCCTTAAAGTTATAAACATGTGAACGTTTAGTCTTTGCAAATTACACTTAAAAATAGACCGCTGTAAATAAGCTTATCACAAAGGTAAATATTAGGTGTTGCTTCATCATCATCATTTGTGGCTCTTCAGCCCAGTGTGGGTCTTGGCCGCCTCTTTTGGGGGTTACTAAATCTAATTAGACATTTGTTAGGACTCCTCAGACAGCGCGGCCACTGTTATCGGCATTAGATGTTACAGCATGCTCAATAGCGAGGCAGTTTGAATCAGTTACGTAATTTTATCGTAATGATATTACCTGAAACCTAATGTAATTTCCTTTACAGTCAAGATACTAGTTTCAATACCCGTACAGAGAAACTGATCAAATTATCGTTATGTATACAGACTGCTTTTAAAAACTCAGTTTGTTTTATATACTGATATTTCTTAGCAATTAAATATTCGGTAATATTTCTTAATATTCTTTTTCACTCCTGCTTTTGGTACTTATTTCGTTGTTTCTGTATCCCATATTAAAGTACTATAATTTACTAATATTTTTGCGAAATTAAGTAGTTGTAGTAGTAGCTTGATGTCTTGTTCAACCCGCGACCACAGCGTCCTTACGTATTTACAGGGTAACTGGACATTTATATTCAATTATTCCGTCAACAGTCATGTAATGAAGTGTGTTTAACAGAACAGTCAAACATGAATATTAATTTCCGGCAAAATAATATTGATACTAGTGCTAAAGCAGTGTGACTGACTGATCTAACGTTACTTCCCTTTATGGAGTTTGTGTGAAAGACTTCATTATTTGACATGAAACTTCTATTTATAATAGTCACTCATATACCTACATATACAAGTAAACGTATTACTTATATACACTACCACAAAAACATAAAAACAGATATACGAGGTGCGATCGGAAAGTTTCAAGACTGTGTCAATAGCGGGCGAACCGGATGTAGTACGAGCTTCTGCCGCTAGGGGGTGCGGCCTACATTCATAGTGAATCAGTGTGCCAGCCGGCATCATCGAATTAGCATTTGTTTCTTAGTTACGGGCGTTTTGGTAGTGCATTACACCGACCCTCCTGCGATTTCAGGAATGGCGTGTGCATCAAATTTTGCCAAAGACTCGCCAAAACGGCTACGGAAACCTATGAAATCCTAAAGCAAGCATTTGGGGAGTCCGCAATGGGTCAAGCACAAACTTTTGTGTGGCATTCACGTTTTAAAAATGACCGAACCTCTGTCGATGATG